AAATAACAAATATGGAAAATGTGACACCGATATCCCAACATGCATTGGATTAGCGAAAGATGCCTTCCAAAAACTAAGCAAAGTATAAAGAAACAGGAAAATCTCGTTAGAAACAAAGAAAAAAGTGTTACAATGAATGCTAAACAATCTACCCAAAGATGAAGAGAAAACTAGACGCAAATGAGGTTCTAAAGAAGGATATTGCGAATTCCATGGGCGGGGCGATTAAAAATCGAGGAATCTTAAAGAAAATGGCAACAAAAAGAACACTGCTCAGAATCAGGAAAAGTTAGCTGAAAATTCTTGGACGCATAATGAGGAAGGAGGGCTTGGAGAACCTAACCTTCACAGGGTTAGTTGAAGGCCAGGGAAATTGGGGAAGACAGCGATCCAGCTACGAGCTTACGGGAATGTTTGGCGGGATATTTAGCAAATGAAGAAAATTGCAAGGGAGTTTTAGAGTACCATGGCCATCCATCTCCTGAAACAACGCGATATGTAGAAGAAGAACTAAAAGAATGAAAGTGTTCTTCCCTATAGACCTTGATCGAGGAGCTGAAAAGATTGTTCTATTTTTCTTATTATTTTCTTCTGTATAATAACAAGCATTTTAAACAAAAATTAACGACAAAGATGGGTGGGGCCGTACGCGATTTCAGAAATTTTTACACAGCTTAAAAAACCAAGATTGCAAATCCACTCAGCACAATAGATAGGAAAACACAAAGTAGGCAGGGGTTGATAAAAAATTGTTTACAAAAAGCATTTGATATATAAGCAATAACTTCATTTTTAATGAAAGACAATATTTTTTTTTTTAATTTCATATATATATATATACATATATATATATATATATATATATATATATATATATATATATATATATAGTATCAAATGACAATTGGAAAAAAAATCATACATTTTGCCGACGCGTTTCGTCTTCCGACTTTTTCAAGGCAAAAATGAAATCGAAATGTTTTTGCTGTTATAGTTTACATGAAAATTCAAAATTAAAAAGATAGACGCTTGGGTCTAAGACTTTTTCTGTTTAATAATAATAATCCCTTACTGTAAAGGTAATTTACATTAAACAGAAAAAGGCTTAGAAAGCTTCAATCTATTAATTTTTAATTTTAATGTAACTATAACAACAAAAACATTTCGATTTCATTTTGCCTTGAAAAAGTCGGAAGACGAAATACTAAAAAAATGATGATTTTTTCCAATTGTCATTTGATACCAATCTGTCTATCCATAGAATTCATCTGGGAATTTAACTATATATATATATATATATATATATATATATATATATAAATTTCTCATGGTTAACCTGTAGAAGAGACAATATTTATAAATATAAATGACAATAGCAAAACTGTAGTAGTTGCCGACGCGTTTCGTTCAATGTGGACTTTCTCAAAGCAAAAAACGAAATGAATTTAATTAAACAAAGTAACTAATCATAACAAAAACAAAATGTCCTTAGTAACTGGAAGAATTTAGACAACGCTATTTTCATACTGTTAACTGAAAAGTACGTCAATTACTGTCACGTGTGGAGATATTGTTATTATTCACTCAGAAGGAAAATCCTCGAGAGGGCCGCCATTGAATATTACCCAAATATTAATCTACGCCCAGGCATTTTTCCAAACAAACATACATAACAATATCATGAAATCAAAAGAACGGGTTTCTCTAGCAAGAACGTTTCCCCTAAAATAAGTTTAGAAACGAAAATTAGAAGAGTCATGCAATGGCTTAAATGAATATCCGGTTCATTTCTATACTTTACTGTCTTATTTTAGTGAAATATATGTACAATACTGAGACTTTAGCGGATAACATGGTGAAACTTGAAAAAAAAATAGATAGGGATGAGTATACTACGGGATCGTATTATACTCAAGGATGTAATTTATTCCCTGTTTTTAGCTTCCGAAACACGGGGTCGTATTATACTCAAGGATGTAATTTATTATGTTTTTTTTGAAAAAACACGGGGTCGTATTATACTCAAGGATGTAATTTGGTTCTCCAGAAACTTCATGAAACATGGGGCGTATTATACTAAAGTTGTATTATACTCAAGGAAATACTGTAAGTTTGCGTTTAAAATGCGATGTCTGTACAGAATTACGCACGTAATTGCTTGCAGCAAATTCACCGTTAGACAAACAGAAATACAACCGGATGTAGTTTTTATCGACGATTGACATAAACATTCCAAAAGTCGAAGCCAAAGAATAGGTCAGTCTTTATGATCTTTAATAACCGCATAAATTTCCATGAATTCTACAACAACGTCAAAGTCTCTTTTTCTTTTTTTAATTTTCCTCGTCGGTAATTTTCGAGTGTGTTGTACCAAAATTTTTTAAAAAGTTGATTGATACTTTTATCGTATTACCTTTCCTATCGATGCACTTTGTTTAAAAAAATGAATGTTGGCGTTCTATCATATAAAATCAGATAAATCTTTTCTTATATCCTATAGTTTAATTAATAGAAGACTCGTGAACCACTCAAGGTAGAGAGCTAATGGTAAAATGTTTATAAGGAATTAGGTGCGCAATATGAGCCAAATGAAGATTATTAGGATAACGATTATACATAACGATTGGCCTTTATCTTGGAAGGTAAAGTGGTTCCGTTCGTGGAAGCATCCACGTGGGAATCAGTTCCACAGAGTACCAGTTCTTGTGAACAAAACAAAATGAGCCTGAATAAAACTCTCTCCTTATATTTTAGCTTTAAAAATAACACTAACATCATTTTGATGGTCATTTTCAATTTATGATAATTTATGATAATTTATGATAATTTATGAATAATTTTAGTTCAAAATTCACAAGTTTTTTTAAGTTTTTAAACATAGAGATCCATTTTTTGTGTTACAAAAATGGAGCCAAATTTGAGCACAGGTAAAAGACCAAATTGTCCAGGCTGATTTTTAAGCAAGTTTTCTGACTATGTGCCTATTTATATTTACCTTTATATATATATATATATATATATTATATATATATATAGATATATAATATATATATAGATAGATAGATTTTAGAAGAGATAGAGAATTTAGATAGATAGATAACATTTCTTTAGGATGTGGTTGAATTTATTCTGTATAACTAATGCTAAAGATGAATAGATGGAAAATGAATGAGTTTCTCCAGTGTATTTTTATATTAATTGGAATTATTGTGATAGATAGATAGATAGATAGATAGATAGATAGATAGATAGATAGATAGCTGTGAATATCAGATAATAGATGGAAAATGAATGAATGATAGATATTAATTGGCTATGATAGATAGATAGATAATAGATAATGAATGAATGAATGAATGAATAAATTGATAATCATTAACTCTCTGATGATAGATAGATAGATAGATAGATAGATAGATAGATAGATAGATAGATAGATAGATAGATGAATGAATACTCAGATAGATATAATAGATAGATAATGAATGAACTGATATATATTAACTGGCTATGATAGATAGATATATAGATAGATAATGATTCAACTGATAAACATTAACTGTGATAAATAGATAGATAAACAGACATTGCAGATTTTGTTCAACTTTTTATTGACTGCTAACAAATAATGATTTTGAATTTGCCAAGTTGAAAAGAGATTAAACCCTTGAAAATCATTATTCGACATCCTGACCTTCACCAGAACTCCAATACCGACTCTGCGCATAGGAAGAAAAAAAATACACGTAATTATATCAGTCTAAAAGAACTCGCAAACGGCTAGGTAGATATTTTGAATATATAAATGTCCGACGAACTGTCACATGACACGCCTCAGTTATGTAATCCTTCCGAGTTATTTCTGGTCGGGTTCTTCGTGAATCACGATATTTGCCCGTCATTTGTCGGTATTTGCGGATATTTCTAGACGCCTGCTTTTATTTTGGGTGAAAATATTTCGTGGACTGGGCCGAGGAAGATTTGCGTCAGAAAGTGAATTCCTTTCAAACAGTCTCTCGACTAGAAGTGCCGGTCGTTTCTTAACATGTATCACCGAAAAGAAAAAATCTTGATCTCGTCTGTGTACACAGAAATCTGGGAAAAGGCCCGCTGCACGCTCACATGATAACCAAAGACAAACAGCGACACTGTGGAATAAGAACGCCAACTTTGTTTCCCAAATTATAAAAAAAAATAGATTTTTCTATTTAGATCTTCGTCTGATTGTGTAGGTAGGTGATATTTGGGACAATTTCTGCCATATTGGTCAAACAGCTCAGCTCTCCTCTCTACTAACCCTTCGGCGATTCATCCCAACGTGGTGGCTTGCAGTACAAATGGATGGCACGGGAACCACACAGGTATTTCTAACCTAAACCATTTTTTTATTCGTTTTTTATATATAATTTACGACTGAGTAGTGAGTTCAGTCCTCACTGGGCGCTCCCCTAATTTCGGCCTTGTGCCACATCTAAACTATGCTTGGAAAATCGCTATAATAGGTATTTTTCGGCTGCGGTAATATTCTGTCTACTTAATGTTTTATAAATTTTGTTTCAAATTTCAGACTTAGTAGTTTTTATATTATCGGTAAATTTGACAAATTCATATTTAAAATACACACACACAACAAAAAGAAACATGGTTCACGAAAACAGAAGATGGCGATTGACACTGCGTTTAAATTTTTGAAGATTGTAGTTGTCATTGAAGTAAGAAACCGGGCGAGAGTCCCACGGGTGATAAATGCGAGAAAAGAAACTGTTAGAATAGAACCTACGGTTGCATTGAGCTAATTCAACAGTATAAAGATGGGACCTAATTGCCAATCTAGTAGTACGTTTAATTTCATGCAGTCGATGTCCCAAGGAAGGGAGCTCATCACAAGGACATTCCAAGGCATCTGCACGTAAGTGAATATAAGGAAACCAATGGGAATTGAAACCCGGTTCGATTAAAAATTCCGAGACATTATTCATTACACCATCCGCACATCAAAGACTACATCACCTGGTATTCTCACGCATCTTGTTACTGACCAGTCTCGACGTTGCTTAACTTCGGTGATCGTACGGGAACCGGTGTTTCAACGCAATGTGGCCGTAAACTCTAACCAAAATGTACAATAACAAAAAAAAAAGGTGACAACCCACTTTAGACAAGCCAGTGGTATTATAATCAGAGCATTCACTTAAATATTTGTATCTATAAAAATAACGTATAAATATAAAATAAATATATTAAAATAATTATCGGACTTAGTCCATTTCATAATGTATGACGTCATTTGCTTACATTAAAAGACCCTTCGAGCAGATATGAGCGTTCAAGAGAAATCATGGGAAATTTGTAGTTTCAAAGCAGTAATTTGTCTTTGTTAACCAGACGTTTCCACTGTATCTAAATAGTATAGCACGTCAGGCTATATAACGGTTCTGTGTAGGATACAGGTTCGATTCCTGTTGGAGGACACATATTTTCTATGAACATTTCTTGGACATTCAGGCCGGTAAATGTTGTTAATACCGTTTATTATAAACAGAGCATTCACTTAAATATTTGTATCGATAAAAATAACGTATAAACAACAAATATATTAAAATAATCGTCGGACTTAGTCCATTTCATAATATCTATCTATCTATCTATATATATATATATATATATATATATATATATATATATATATATATACACATGCATATATATATATATATATATATATATATATATATATATATATAGATATATATATGATAGGTGTTGTTTACTTGCTGTTCACGTTAATGACTATCGTGGTCGTAGCGGTTAAAACCCTCGTACAACTAATCCAAACAGGTATTTTCAATGGGAAAATAGTGTATTCATCTTCCACTGATCGATGAGGCACAGGATATCGATAACGGTATACTGGACAAACACTTCGATCGGTTACGGCCATGAGCAAGAAAGCTCAGAGCAGTAGACGGTGGAAAAAGCCCGGAAATTGATTCCGATCAAGTTCCGGTGTGCAGGAAATTGGTTCTGACTGTCTCCGGTAGATGGAGCAGCGAGAAAGATACTGTACTGGCCTGGCCAGGCCTAAACAAAGACAGGCCGATTTGAATTTTAGAAAGCGAGTATTTACTGCGCCCGTTAAAATTGGCCGACAAGAACAGCCAGGAATGGTTCTTGGGATGTCTGGATTGTTACAAGTTTTGCCCATTCTTTTTTTTTTTTTTTTACCTTGAAGGAAAACACGAGAAATACACAGGCGGCTCAGAAAATTGCTCTATTTTGCTTTGAATTTATTTTATTTGGTGAGCAACATTTCGAACAAAATTAATATTTTAAGAATAGAAATGTGCTTCTAAATAAGAGCGTTTAGAATAACATGGTGTGCGTAAGCAACGAAGGATTTTTAGAGACGATTAAAACAAAAAAGGACACTTATATCTTTTTAATTTTAATCATTACACCAAGGCGGGAATGCCACTATTACGCGGGGAGGGTACAGGATGTGAAAGGAAAAAAGAACACTATCAAGAGGATTGAGGAAAGGACAAAAGATGAAAGACTGACGTTGCATTTAAATTTTTGAAGATTGTAGTTAGCGGGGAAGCAAGAAATCATAAGGGAGTTCCACAGGCGGGAAGTGCGAGAAAAGAAACTCTTGGAGTAGAAGTGGCGGATTCATTTAGCTATTTCAACAGTAAAAGAGTGAGCCAATCTAATAGCACGTTTAAATTCATGTAGTCGGGACACCAGGGGAAAAAGCTTGGCAGAGCAGTTGCCATGAAAATATTTGTAGAAAAGACAGAGGGAAGCCACGTTACGTCGTCAGGAAAGAGACTGAAGTCCAAGATCGATTACATTGCAGATCCTTCTTTGGATTTCGTCAAGAATATCTCGATATACAGCAGGAGCATCAGACCAGATATGGCGACAGTATTCAATGCACAGACGAATGGTAGATTTATAAATGTGAAAGATGGATTCTGACGAGAAAGATTTTTCTGGCACGGCACAGTGACCCAACTTTCCTTGCAGTAGATGCAGCTACTCAGAATCAGAAAGAGATATCTGAACTTTCTGGGACACATAATGAGGAAAGAAGGTCTGGAGAATCTGACACTCAGAGGGCATAATCAAGGTAAGAGGAAGAGACGAAATCAGCGATTAACCTACCTAACGAGGTTGTGTAAATGGTTGACAAAAGAAGAATTAAGAGAGATAGTAAAAATAAAGGTACAAAATAAGTTGTGGAGAGCCTCGATCGCCCACGTCCTGAAGAGACACAGCATATAGAAGAAGAAATTTCGTACAAAGTGTGTCCGGTAAATATCCAGCCATTCCATATTAGTAAAAAAAAAAAAAAAAAAAATTACTAATTGATTACATGCCTTACACATATCTTCAAAGTGCTCCCGTTGGGATACTTACACATTTATCTAAGGTAGCGGGAGGGGGGCTTCATCGACTTTTCAAAACAGTCTGCAGAGTTCTCTTCCAAGGATTATCAACAGCCAATTCGTCGCGTGCTCTTTAATCTCGTCCCCGGCATTTTAACTTTGGTAAAAGTGCACAGACTGTGAGGGAGTCAAACTTCGACTGTGGAAAGCGTCAGAGAGTCGACTCCGACTATCGTCTGCCTACTATATGGTATTTCCTGGCGTGTATCACATGTTACAAAAAAAAAAAACAAACATTGGGGACAGAATTTTAATGCAGTGAAATTTATTAAGATTAATAAGTAATGAAAATCAAGTAATCAAAAATAATAATTTAATAATGGAACATTTTTTGACGTTTCATCAAGATAGAGGAATAGATAGATAGATAGATAGATAGAAAGAAAGGCCGGGGAGATATAGAAGATTTTTTCTCTGAACAAACTTCCGGGATAAGAAGAAAGATGTAAGGTTTTTAGTAGATAGATATGAACAGATTGAGATGATAGATAGAATAGATAGATAGATAGATAGATGAACAGATTGAGATAAGAATAGATAGATTGATAGATAGATGAGATAGATAGATAGATAGATAGAACAAGATGAGATAGATAGATGATAGATAGATAGATAGATAGATAGATAGATAGATATGAACAGATTGAGATAGATAGATAGATAGATAGATAGATAGATAGATATGATAGATTGAGATAGATAATAGATAGATAGATAGATATGAACAGATAGATAGATAGATAGATAGATAGATAGATAGATAGATAGATAGATAGATATGAACAGATTGAGATAGATAGATAGATAGATAGATAGATAGATAGATAGATAGATAGATAACAGATAGGATAGATAGATAGACAGATAGATAGATAGATAGATAGATAGATAGATAGATAGAGATAGACAGATAGAGATTTAGATAGATAGATAGATAGATAGATAGATAGATAGATAGATAGATGAGATAGATAGATAGATGAGATGAAGAGAGAATAGATAGATAGATAGATAGATAGATAGATAGATAGATAGATAGATGAGATAGATAGATAGATAGATATAGACAGATAGAGATAGATAGATAGATAGATAGATAGATAGATAGATAGAGATAGATAGATAGATAGATAGATGATAGAACAGATAGAGATAGATAGATAGATAGATAGATGAATAGATGATATAATAGATGAGTGTGATAGATAGATAGATAGATAGATAGATAGATGATTGAGATAGATAGATAGATAGATAGATATAGATAGATAGAAGATAGAAACGATAGATAGATAGATAGATAGATAGAGATAGATAGATAGATTTAAATGAGATAGATGATTAGATAGATAGAATAGATAGATGATAGATAGATAGATTTACATTGGATAGATAGATAGATAGATAGATATCAGATTGAGATAGATAGATATGATCTTAGATAGAGATAGATATATTTGAGATAGATAGATAGGATAGATAGATAGATATATAAAATTGGTCTGCCGATTGATTAGATAGATTGGATGCTAATCTAAATATTGAGATTAGATAGATATGAGTTATTAGAAAATATGAACATTTAGATTTTACAAATAGATATTGAACAATAGTAGATAGATAGATAGATAGACCTGAACAGATTGAGATAGATGATAGATAGAAGCGATTAGGAGATGAACAGATAAAGAAGATAGATTCATAGTTTTATTTGAGATAGATAGATAGATAGATGAATTTCAGATTGAGATAGATTTTTAATTTTATCCATTGAGATAGATATATGATAATAATATTTTTATTACTTATCTTCCCCCCATTCAATGTCAGATTAAATAATACTGAACAATTTTGACCTCATATCCAAACGAGTTTTATTGGAAAAACATAGCCTGATCTTCGGATTCAATGTCAGATTATATCCAACGTTATTGATTTTCTTTGTAGCTGATTGCGAGGTTAATACGAAAGTGCTTTATATCCGGTATGCCAGATCGAATAAAATTTGTTTTGCGAAAATGTGTAATCAGCTTCTAACGCTGAATGTGCCATTTAGACGCATGGGTCAGACTGATTAACAACACACCTGAGATTATCGAATAATTATATTGATAGAAATTTGGATTTCACTTCCAGTCTAATTACGTTGAAAATATACCCTTTGGTTTATCAAGAGAATCAAGACTTCGACGATAATTTCTACTAATACGACTTCTCATATCAAACGTTTTACTGTCAAACCATTTCATGTCAAACCTTTTAATTTGTCTTCTTACCCTTGGAAGCTTTCTAATGTCATGTCTTCTAATTTCAAGATTTAAACTGCCAAATCATTTGATGTCAAATCTTCGGCTGACGAATCTTCGGCTGATAATTCTTCAAATGTCAAGTCTACTGCTGATAAGCTTTCTAATGCCAAGCCTCTGTCACATTTTCTAATGTTAAGTCTTTTACTGCTAAGCCTTCTAATTTCTATGCGTCTAATGTCAAGTGTTCTAATGTCAAGTCTTTTCTTGACAAGATTTCTTCGGTCAAATCTTTGTCAAACTCTCTAATGTCAAGTCTTCTATTGAGAAGCATTCTAATATCAAACTTTCTACTGCCACGCTTTCTATTGAGAAGCATTCTAATATCGAACTTTCCACTCTTAAGTCT